ACTCAGTTAACAGGTAAAAAGATGAAAGTGAATCTTGAAAGGAAAAAGTGTTTCAATGGAAATGAAGAGAAAAGGAAGAATGAAGAAGATGAGGATTTATCTTCAAGATATAGGATAATCATCAATTCCCTGCTTTTCCTATCTTCCTTCTTAGTCTTTTCGCCTTTCATTTCTTATCAAACAACGTTTTTCCTATAACAATGGCAATAATAATAATCTTTACTCCCAGCTTCTCTTTCAATCCAATAACCTTGTTACTCGAATCATGATGAAACATGAGAAAAGTAAAGCTCATTCTCATTGCACTTTCAATATTCAACTCTGAAAATGAATTCTTTTTTCTCTTCTTCTTCTTGCTCATTGTCATGATGAGCTGATTCATTTGGAATTTAAAGTTTTAAAAAATTTGAGCAAAAAAAGTGATTTTCTTTTCTTTTTGAAATTCATTTTTGTAGAAATTCTGAAAACTAAAAATTTTGGAAAATAATCTCTTCTTTTCTCTATAACTTGCTTCCATGATAATCATGTTCATCTATTGGAATAGGTGGGTGATGGCGACCAGGTTCACTTGACGAGGGAATCCAAAGTGAGATGACAAGAGATGAAGACTGAGAGCTTCAGATTTCATGTGTAATAATGATGAGATGGAAAATGTTGTTACCTGGAAAGTGGAAAAGGATAACAGAATTGAATTATTGAAATAGTTTCTTTTACCTTCTTTTTTTGTTCCATCTTCATCATAATCTTTTCTCAGCATTCGCTGCATTACCAGCGTCTCTTTCGTCCCTCATCCAATCCTTCATCTTCTTAAATTGAACATCAACTAGTTCTTACTCTTGCCTTTTTTGTGTCAGAATTTCATTTTATATGCAAAAGTTCACTACAAGACTTGAAATGTTTCAGATTTGATAGAAGAAGAGAAAAAAGAGCAAAAATCGAGAAAAAATCAAGTTTAGGAGAGAAAAGTAAAGAATCAATAATCCTTTTTTTTCGAGTTCGAACTTTCTTCTCAGAAGAAAGAAAACAATGAATAGACTTGGAATCTGTATCTATATTGGAAATTGGATTTCATGATGAATGAGAATAAAAATTAATTTCCAAATTCTAAATGAAAGGAAAGTCTAAATGGAATCATGATTGGTGAACATTATCTCAACTGATTTACATTATTATCAACTGTCACCATCTTTCAAGATTGGCTCAGTTGAACAGTTGAACAGGAAAAATATGAATATTCAATTCCCTTCAGAGATTTCAGTGATTTCCCTGAAAGAGCAAATCTCTTTTATTAATCCAACATTTTACAAGATTACAGTTTAATGTACAAGTTTCAACCTTTGATTAACATTTGCGAATCGGTAATTGATAAACAGCTAGAAACATTGTAATGTTACAAGTTGATGATGTAAAGAGGTTTCAGTGAAAAGGGCAACATTAAGTTGAGATAATCCAATTTTGAAGTTGTTTAGTTGCCAATAAAATGCTTTACATTATTGGATAACATGCATTCCTAGGATGAGGAAAACACTCAACCACAAATCGCATTGATTAACATGATCAGATGGAAGGGAAAGATTATCATAAACTTTATCAAAGCAAAAAGCAAACAAATTCAAGTGAAAATGAACATTTCATTAGCAAAAGACCAAAAATGAATTCAACTTCATTCAATCAAAATAAATTGTTATTCAATGATCTTAACATTGAAAGTGCTTTCAACTAATAACATGAAATAGCGATTCTAATTTTTCAATTTTCCTTCCATTCGGCTTTTACTTGCAATTTGCTGTTGAGTTAATATTGGTTTATCAATTGCTAATTCATTGGAAATTTTGGGATTCATAAAATTCTATTCGATCTTTTCTTCGAAAAATAGATTTTGGTTGAATATTTTTATCTTTTTTCATGATAAAAGCTTTTAATTTTAGGGTTTTGCGATTGATTTCAAAGTTTTTTTCTCATTCGATTCATGAAGATGAACATGGAAAAGAAAATTATTCACAAAATTGAAAGGAACTTTGACAGAAATTCGATTTTTCCACAAACTTCGAATTTTGAAAAATATTGTTCTTTTTGTGGAGATTCAGCATTTTTCATGTTCACCAATGAACATTCAATTAGAGAAACAATAAATATAATTTGATAGAAAAAAAAGTTTCTTTCATCATTCAAATATGGAGCTTTTGATCATTGAATTGACCACTTAATCACTTTTACTGGTCAGTTTAACTTGACCAGACAAAATGACCATAAAACACGAAAGCAAAGGAAAACAATTAAACTAATTGTTTACTCTTTCAATAAAATGTCATTAAATGGAAACATTTGTCGAGGAAAAAAAGGTTAAAATTATTGATCCAAAAATGAAGCAAAACCTTTTCTCGATCAAAAACTGTTTTTCATCATTTTCATTCAATACCAACACTTGAACATTCAGAATTTTCCCTTTAAAATACAAAAACACTATTTTCTTGAATGATATTGAAGGACAACAACTCGATAGATTCAATGAAAATTCACATTTCGCATGTTAATTAAAGATTACCATGTAAATGTTAATAAATGTTAACAATTTAATTGTTTTCTTTCAATTGTAACTCCTGTCTTCCCACTCTGACTTTTATTATCATTTCATTATAAATGCTATAATATTACGAATCTCTCTGTTAATTGATAATATCATCATCATTATAATATTTAATGAATGAAAAAATAAGTTTAAAGGTAAAAAAAGATGAAGACATTTTATTTAATTACAATGTTCATGTTTCTTTCGTGATAAAATATTGTTTTAAAAAATTGCAATATAAACAGGAGAATCAGAAAGGAGCAGTGAAAGTCATTAAAAATTAGCTTCTATTTATTGTTAAAATTTATGATTGATGTTAATTATTAATTAAACAAGTTCATTAGAAGCTTTTTTTACCTCTTCAGTCAGTTGACATTTAGCTAATCAAATCCATTCAAGATTAACTTGAACTTTCCGAGAAAAATGAATTTCCAAATTGATTTTCAATTTCAATTTTTAAACATTTCATTTTCATTTTTCATTTGATTTTTAGGTTTCAAGGAAAGCGTTTTTTCTGGTTTTTGGGTTAACTCGCTTTCTGTTTCGGAATGTTTTTCATTGGATTTTCATGGCAACGAAAATTAATTTTTTTCTTTTACTCATTTTCATGATGAAGATTTCGCTTTTTGTTCAGGTCAATTAGGGTTTACCTCATCAAGAGTTAATCATTCAAGTTAAGTGTGAGTGAAACATTATCAACATTTTACAGGTTAAAAGATGGTTTAGTGTTTAATGTTTTTGGGTTTCAGGTTTGCATAGTTTTGGTCTGTCTCTGGTCAGTTTTATTATTATTCAATACACGATTGTTAAACTTAAATTATGATTGTTTAACAATGCAAATCATAATAGTTTGGGTCAGATTGAATAAATGATAACAAGAATAACCGATAACCAAGTGATTATAAACACTGATTTTTTGCCAATATTAAATGAAAAATTTTACTCGTTTATTAACTTGCCCTTTGCTTGATAACATTCATTTGCATTTTTTACCATGTAACATTACTTGAACCTCTCTTTCATCATCATCATCATGAGAATGACAATTGATGACAAATACGTGAGATGAACAGTTAATTAATTATATGAGCAAAGGTTGCCTTTAATAACCTTGCTTTAAGTGGGATTATTTAACAGACTAAAATTGAAACAATCATTTGTTCATAAAAATGCAAACATTATTAACAAGGCGTTTATAACAACTTTTCAATTGACCAAAAATTGAATTGCCACTGATTTAAATTCGCTCCAAACCTTTAATTAACTTGTAATGTTAATTATCGATACATTTGTTTCATAACAACCGAGTCTAATGTTAATATCTTTGCTCTCAGGTTAGGCCAATTAGTCTTGTATTTGAATGAAAAATAAAAGTGTCATCAATAGTCCAACCGTCAAGAATAGAAAGCGTTTGTTTGACACAAAAATTTGGGTTAACCTAATCAGCTGATGGACAATTGAGTCTCCTTGGAAGGCTTCAAAGGGCATTTGATATGATAAATCGATGGTTGATTGTTGCTTCAGACGGATATCATTATGATAGATTAATGATTCATTTGATGAAGATATTGATACATTGGGATCATCTTGGGTTGGCAAGTTTCCAGTTGATTCTGACTCGGATTCAGATTCAGATGATAATGTTGATAAATATGTTCCCTCTTTTACTCGAGTTTTGCTTTTAATGATCACTTTAGGTGACAATGGACGAATTAATAGTTGATTATTTGAATCTGCTTCAATCATGTTTATTGGTTTGGTGTTGTTGATGGATTGTAAAAAAACATCTAAATCGTCCAACAGTTGGTTATATTTTTCCAGTAAAAGGTTGAGATCGCTGGATTGGTTCTGGTATCGGTTCAACTTGTCTAAACTGGTTCGTGTGTTTTTTATGTAACGTTTCATCTGTTTAACCAGTAATTGTAGGTTTGAGTCGAGACATTGGATTGGTCCGTCTCCGGCATCTGTGGTTGAGTCAATGCTTGATGAACTTGATAATGCACGGTAATACGACTTGATTTGGGTTTTAAGTGTTGACAGATTGGCAAAATTTTTAGACAAAATTTTCATTTGTTTATCCATTTAGATTCAATTTTTCATTTGACTCAGCTGAGTCAATTGGATTTGACAATCAGCCTTTCAATAATTATCCTTCATTTAGATATCCATTTATTGGTTTAAGCGACTCTTTTATGAAGCGTTTGACTTTATTCATCTGCAGAAATTCCGATTCGTTTTTTTTTTGTTCCAAGTAATGATTGGCTATTTTAAGCTTTGATAAATCAATATTTTATTAACTGTAACTTTATTTTTTTCAATTGAAATCATTTGGATAATGTTTATTTGAAGAAACCGCGATTTAATTCGCATGTCTCCATCTGGAGGATGGCGGTTGCAAGTAATTTTGCAGTTAAGTAAGGTTTAGACTTGCTTTTAAATTGCATTGTTTATTGTCAGTAAAAAATCTCTCTAGTTAATTGACATTGTAATAAATTATTTTGTGAATCATCAACTTTCTGTTTTAGTGCAAAGAAAGATTGCTGATTTTTTTTTGTAACTTTCTGGTATCAAGTTTTGACCTTTTTTTTATTTTGTGTGAAAAAGCTGTTACTTTGGCTTGAAAATGAGTCGTGCTCACCCACCTGAGTTGAAAAAATATTTAGACAAACAATTGACTCTTACACTAAATGGTGCTCGAAAAGTATCGGGAATCCTACGTGGTTTTGACCCTTTCATGAATTTGGTATTGGATGAGGCGACAGAGGAATCCAAAGATTCTAAGGTTCAATTGGGAATGATTGTAGTACGAGGTAATGCTGTTTACTTGTTGGAAGCTGCAGAAAGGATTTCGTGATCTTGGTCATAATCTCTTACCATTTTGTATTGGAGGAATGTGTATTTGTGACCTAAAATAGAGCATTTTGTGTTTTGTATGTGTATGAGGTCTAGTAACATGGTTACATCAAAGAATAATAAATTTGTCGAAAGCTTCTCCTATTACATCACAGATTTCGGTTAACTCGGTTTCTTCAAGTGAAGCATTGATAAGCAGACGGATACTCGGACGATTTTTCAAAACTTCTTCATCAAGATATCGTGATATGGCTAAAGCAAATCCCTTTTGATGTGCCTAGTTAGAAAATTGAATAAAAAATCAGTGATAGAAAGAACAAAAGAAATTACAATAACTGAACGCAGGTTATGATAATCTCTGATAACTTGAGATTATTCTGCAGAAAATACTTGTTTAGATGCCTCTTGAATTTCACAGCAACCCTCCTCACTTAACGCAAATTTCAATGCCTCTTTTAAAGTAAGTCTCCCTAGTCGTTATCTAACGATTTATTCATGGATAGGAACAAATTTAAGAATGAGATAAATGGCGACTGAGAATTTTTTGGCCAAGTTAGGATTGCTGTGTAGTAGATAATTTGGATAACTTACATGATCACAGATTTTCTCAAGTTGCTCTGTTTCGACATCGTATGAACTCAATTCTTTAGAAAATCGCAAATGTTTAACTGGGCTAATAGGATCTCCATGAACACGGCATGATAATAATCTACCAATAAAACGGATATCAAATTAATGAAAAGTGAAATATAATTAATTGGTTTAAGATAAACGAACCTGGACAGTTTTTGGTGCATATTTATACAGTTAGAACGAAGTTTCTCTGTTAAATCGGGTTTATTTTCTAACATATCAAGAGCTGCAATTGCAACAGCTACTTGAAGAGGAGGCAAAGATGCAGAAAAACAGTAACCTAGACCGGAAAGTCTCTGATGATCGATTATGAAAGTTGTACCAGCACAAAAACCTCCGTAACCACTTATGGCGTGTTCCAGGGTTGATGAAATGTGATCTATATCTTCAATAGGTATGTTTAGATGCTCAGTGATTCCTTTACCATGTTCACCTAAAACACCGAATGAAACTGTTTCATCGACGAAAATTCTAACTTTGTACTTTTTTTTCAGTTCCATCATTTCACGCAGAGGACAGATATCTCCATAATTCATGTACAACGCTTCAACAACAAGAAATCGCCGAATGACTCTAGCAAGCTTTGGATTCTGCAAAGAGATGGACAAATGAAACACATTAATATCTTGAAAAGTCGTCGTTTGATTTTGTAATTACCTTGTTGTCAAATTTTTCCTGTTCAATCAAAAGTCGATGTAAATCGTCTACATCATTATGTTTGAAATATTTTATGGTACTTCGAGATGCTGTCAAGCCTTTTTGAATGGCGAAATGAACTCCTTCATCACAAAATATCACATCACCTTTTTTAGCATAAGCAGGAATGGCACTTGCTACAGCGGACAGTCCATATGAATATAAAATGACTTCTTCCACATTTAAAAATTTAGCTAGCCGACTCTCCAATTCGAGGTGAATGTCTTTGATTAAAGATGGAAAAATTTAGACTATTATTACTCATCAAATGTTAAACAATCACCGATTAAAGATACTAACCTACAGTTCCATAAAAACCTCTAGGACCACAGGAGCCAACTCCATATTTCCTTAAACCGTTGAGAGCTGCATCTTCCAACGATTTTTCATCACTTAATCCGAGATAATTGTGTGTAGCTAGATTAAGACACTTTTTACCATCCACTATGATATGCTTGCCGTATTTGCTGTTAGGGAAAGAGAAAAAGACTAATTAAAACATTTGCCAAGATACGAAGAGTATGTTTTCAAATAAAATAATGAGCAAGAACATTTGTGTTCAGGCTGTTCAACATTGACATTGAATGTTTACTCACCTTGTGACAATTTTTGGGTTCAATGCATAATGATCACTTGGTATATCAGGTGCCAATGGCTCTGGTTTCCATTCATCAATCAATAATTGCTTTTCCTATTGATAAAAGTGTCAGACAGGTAACAAATTGGAGAGTAAACAATGTGGAAAGAAGACAAGATTTATGTGAACAATCTGCCAAAAAGGACAGATCAAAGACCTACCTTTTCAGATAATTTTGCCGGTCGTCTTGATTTCTTTTTACGGAGGAACATTAAATAGACAACAATGAGCAACAGAAATGCTTCAAGTAAAATGTGATAGCCTAAACTGCTGCGTAAATAAGATGTGATAGAGTTCCAATTGAGCCATTCCATTTTGGAAATATTGGTACAAAGTATAGATGTTTAGAGAGGCAATGAAGATGAAAATTATACAAAAACAACGGCTGATGATGCTAGTGGTATTGAATGCTAGCGGAATATAAATTGTTGAGATAATAGAAACAATATAGAAACATAAGTTGACTATCAGAACATGGTTTTAGAAACTGAAAAAGATAGAGTAAGAAAAACAAAATTAACTAAGGAACCACCATAACATGGAAAAAGAAAAGGTAAATGAAAATATAAAACTAGTAAAACAGCTGAGCTTGAGTGAACCAAGTGAGCATTGGTATAAAAAATGAATCAATGTAAAACCTGAAGCATGTTGATTTTAATGAAGAAGATATTAGTGGTGATGTTACTGTTGATCTGCAACTTGTCTCTTTCACCAGAAATCAATGCAATCAGATGGAGGATCTAGGCGCTCGATTACTCACCTATTATTTCATCGGATTCATAGATTGATTAGTTGATTTTAAGTGATTGTGTTAATGCCTTGCCAATGATTGAGTAATTTTCAGTTTTTGAAATGAAGCCACTGTTAGAGTCAAATCTGAAGTAACGTTCAAAGAGGTCAAGCAAAGGTGAAAGAAACACTTCTGTTACACTGATAAGGAAATGACTGGACTATAAAAGGGTAATTTTTTTACTGGTAAGGACTTGACTTTATTGGCAAATATTAGGTTCATTAAGGGAGCTTGATTGGGTTAATAAGTTATTAATAATAACTGGAATAAAAGAGCATTTGTTTGATCAGCTGATTTTCAGCATGCAAGTGTGGGTTACCAGAGACTTCTAGTATCAATGTTTAATGTATTTTCGGTATTTTAGGTTCCAAGTCTAGAAGGATTTTACCGAAACTATTTCTCTCTTTAATTGATTGATAATATGCTTGATGTAAGTTACGTATAATTTACAAAGAAAAAAATGTTAACAATTGTCACTGTCGAGTGGATGATTATAGGATGAAAGGTTAAGCATATATGGTCGATGTTAGCATATTAACTTGATTAACACTTTAAGCTGTGATTAGAGGCACATTAATGATTGCATGTTGAGGTAAGTCCTTGAAAATCAACTCAAGATGATGGAATGAAAAATGGAAAGTAATGATAACCAAGCCGGATCAGAATCGCTTCATTCATCAATAGGCAAATCAAATAAAGAGACAGTTACTCTAGTAGTTGATTTAGTGATGCTGGAAGAAAATAAACTATAATTAACCGATAAAAGTTAATCAGTTATCACCAATTCAACTACTTGAAGCACCAATCACTACATTGATTTGCAAGATATTTACCAATAAGGTCAGATATCTGTTCAGTGACCATCATTTCCGGCATTAGGTTATTCAAAAGAATACCTAATTTTTGATCAGTGAATCGTCATTGAGGCTTAACAAATTGTCAAAAATGTTAATTCCTCTCGAATGCACTCCTTTCACGTCATTTTAAATTAATGATCAAGTAAACTTAAACCATTAACTCAATCAGATAAGATCAAATGCATAGTATGACTATAAAATGAAAATGCAACCCTCTTATATACAAAATAAAACACAAACACTAGCACCATCTATCATCACAAAATAAAACAAATTATTGGGTGAACTTCAAAAGACAAAATTTTACCAGAAAAAATGAAACATTGAAATGACTGTTGAAGTTAGTTTATTGACCTTTAAAAGCACCAAAACTCCTGAAATTATTTACCAAAATGGTAAAGATACATTCTTATCCCTGTTCCTAAAATAAAAGTAAGGAAATGATGATAACTGATGGTAATGCTGATCAATGATGAAGTATTTCCAATCGATTTCATTGACATTCCTTAAGAACTTGTGGTTGATTCGCTGAGCTTTTTCATTTCGATTATCATTCTACTCAGCAGCATGCAAGTCAAAGTCATACGTGATTGTCTGTTACTGGAGTCATTGAAGATCAATACTATCAATCATTTATTGAAACTGAACGTTAAATGCTGACAAAAATCTGTTTCTATTGCACAATCTGAACGATTTTCTGAAACATCATTAGTCATTAGCGATGATTTGATTTTCACTCAGCAAAGACACGAAAGATTGACCCAGAAAAATACTAAAAATCCAAGTTCCAATCCCAGCGAAGAACCCATTCGAAATAGAAAAGGTTGAAATTTTTCTGCCTGTTTCAGAGTTATAGCCATCAACTGAATCTAATATAAAATTCATCAGGAAAATTTCAGAATCCAAGCAGAACTTAAGAGGATAGAATTGTTGCAATATTTCTTAATTTCGGTTAAATAAGAAGATCTTTCAGAGATTCGACATTCATCCAAAGAATGGACCATTTTTGGTATAAACATTATTATTGACAAAATTGAGCATCACAAAGCATTTTATTTGGCAAATGACATTACAAATCACCAATTCCTGGTTCAAAGTGGACATCATACTCAGTCAAAGTTACACGTTGAAAGGCTGGACAAATGTCAATCTCATTCATGGCATAAACATTGTCTGGTTGTTTGTTTGATGAATTTCCAGTTGAATCCTTTTCCTTTGATTCAACTTGACCTGGCATGAGAACCAATGAATCATCGAGAGCAGCAAAAAATCCATAAAAAAGTATCACATTTAAACCAAGTAAACATGATATAGCAGAAAGTGTATACTTGGATAAAATTTTGCGTGAATTGCGATAATAAAAATTGGCAGTCAATAGAAAATCAGTCCAAAAAATAATAATCAAAGATTGATTTAAAATTTTCGATCCATTGTCGAGACGACGAAAATTTTCCAACAATTCCTTTCTATGGCGATCGCTAAACTTGATCTTCAATATAATCGTCAAAATGAGATGAACCTAGACACAAGAAAGGTAACAAAAAGTAATTCATTAACAGCGAAAAAGAAACTTTGATAAAAAAATTGTAACACATTATGAATCTCATAATGATTAATGAAACCCAAAAAAAGATGAGTTTTGGTGTTTTTGCATATTAATTGGAGTAACAACCTCAAGAGAGATGCTCAATTCTGTCCAATTATAAAGGTAATGAATGTTGAATATTCAACAGTTGATTATCGATGAATTCCTCATGAATGAATGGCATAAACAGCAAAACCCATTTTTCGCTGGTAAATAATTTCGAAAGAAAATGACATTTTCCTAATTCTATGCAAATGTCACTGAGAAGGTTTATGGTTTCAAGTTACTCACCATTGTTATGAAAAAGGCACTTGCGTTTGTTAAATAAAAATAGCGACTTTCAATTTCGATCATTTTATCGACTGAAACAGATTTATCCAATTCATTTGCTATCACAGCGGCGCCAGTTAAGCTCAATGGTATAACTGAAAATATTAATGAAATAATTTAAGATTTAATGAAAGTGTTGAAAACTTGAAATGTGAATATACTTACTCCATCCAAGGAAGGTAATTTTGAAATGAGGTAAACTGTGTTTTCCGTAGTTTAGGTGAGTGACGCAGGTAAGTACGTTATTGCATAGGCTTATTTGAAGGCAGTTGCAGGCCAATTGGAAGAACAGTATTGATTGAAATATGTAAACTGATGGAATCTGAATGTTGAAAGAAAAGTTGAAATTAATTAAACAGTTTCAATCTGGGTTTAGAAATCATTGAAACGAATAATTATCCAAAGTATTTCATTTGCATTCATTGGTTTGTCCGAAAACATGTCAACACAAAAGGACAAAATTTATTCATTTCTGTATATTTCATGGTTATTCAACTTACTGGAATTTGAAGGAAATGATAACTGGCTAAAAAGGAACATTCAAGTCCTATCGTTGCAAGGCAAATCTGGAGTTTCAAGCACTTGATACAATTCATTTTGAATCTGGAAGGAAAAGAAAAAAAGTTTCCAATTAAAATTCAAAGTTTCATGGACTAAACTCAATAAAGCGTTTTATTTCGATTTACATTTATATTTATATTGAAATTCTTCTCATTATCAAGGTAAAGACGTCGATGAATCAGAATAAAAATAAGCGAGATTCTGGAAATTTTCATTTTCCACAAACTTTTGCCCAAGAAAATTTTCTGTTTTTTTTTGTTAAACCTTAAATGTTGACTTTTACAAGACTCAATGAAACGAACAACTAAAGTGCAAATGTTATGAAGATTATTTAAACTTCATCACTTGAATAACATGAACAATTAGATTGCTTCAATGATGTGCCTGTAATGCAAATTGAGTGTAATTAAAAGGAAGAGGAAAAGACGATTAAAACTGATGACCAAAAGACCAACGAAAAGTAAACGAACTAGAAAAATGTCTGAGAACAAAGTTGGCTGCATTCCCTTGCAAGGTGAACTGAACAAAATTGAGATTCCACCATTTTCCAACTTCTGGGTCCCGTCAAACCGACCGGCATATAACTAGACGG